ATAGGGACTTATAAAATTCTAGCAGGACTAGACAGAGTAGATGCAGGGAGGATGTTCCCGATGGTGGGTGTGTCCAGAAACAGGAGTCACAATCTGAGGATTTGGGGTAGACCTTTTAGGATGGAGATGAGACATTTATTCACCCAAAGAGTGGTGAGCCTGTGGAGTTCATTACCACAGGAAGCAGTTGATGCCAAAACATTGAATGTATTCAAGAGGTGACCAGATATAGAACTTGGGGGTGAATGGAATCAAAGGTTATGGGGAGAAAGCAGGATTAGGCTATTGAGATGGATGATCAACCATGATCATGAAGAATGGTGGAGCAGGCATGAAGGGCCAAATGGCCTCCTCCTGCTCCTATCTTCTATGTTTCTATGTTACAGAATGACCATGAATGTTGAGAGCATAGTCCCGAGAGGTCAGTATGCCATGGGCCTTCAGAAGGTTGGGAAAGTAATCCCACTTCACTGGCCACCCCCACTTACAAAGTTCCAGCTTCACTGCACAGAACAGAGAACATAGCTAAACAATGTTGATGGAGTTCAATGGTGTTTTACAGGCTGGAAGTTGTAAATACTTTATTAGGAAGGAGACACTCTCTCAGACCCCTTGTCAACTCTTTGCACTCGATTCACGTTAATACAAAGTGCTCAAAATCAACAGTAGCAATGCTGAACAGTGAGGGGTATCTTCCAAGTAAAGATGCAGCATTATTTAAACTAGTGCAGCTCTGCTCCTGGAATTGTAAAATACAAAGCAGTTCCATTGCACTGAGTCTTTCAGCCACTGTTGCATTGCTGTTGATGTTGTCACCTCGCATTCCAGTGCTTCCAATAGGCACTCCTTTTTCTTCAACTGGCGATTCTCCTCCTCTCTGGTTGACAAGCCTCTCTACCATGCCTGCCCCATTTCCTCCTCTCCTCCCCACTGGAACTGCTTTCCGTGTCGGATCCGCGCAGTGACCAGATGCTCAGTCACCCTCGTCCTCACCCCCTCAGCTGGTCTTGAGTCTGGGTGCCAGGGCAGTGAGGATAACCCACATTGCCACCCAGTAAATGATGCACTTTCTGATGAAGAGCACTACTTTGTGTTTTCCTCCAGGATTTCAAATACAAGTAAAACTAGAAAAAACCCCTCTTCTAATCGTGAAATAAAGCAAAGAACTGCTGGTGCTGTAGATCCAAAACAAAATTAGAAATTGCTGGGCCTCCTTGACCTCAGATTCCATCCCACCAGATTCAAAAGAAAAAGGAAAAAAAAAAAAAAATTGCACTCTGCCATCTTATGCTTAACTGTCTTAGTCATCCCCAAACAGACCTTGCACTCCCTCTTCAGCATTCTGAAGAGACCATTCCTTCATTGACCGTCCCCATCTATTCCACACTTTACTCCTAATCTTCCCTCACGACATTCCCTTGCATGCACAGCACTTTGTAAAAAAATCATTTGTTCACCAATCATGAGCATCTCTGGCTGGATCAGATTTCCTTTCCCTAATGCCCCTGGAGAAGGTTGTGGTGAACTGCTGCAGTCCATGGTTGGGGACGGAGGAGGAACCCCTCCCTTTGTACCTACCCTCCAGGGTTCCAATCACTTCTCCCAGCTTTTCACTTGTATTTCTTTAAAGAGAATGTACAGTGCTCGCTGCTCACAACGTGTGGTCTCCTCTATACTCGGAAGGCCAAGGGCAGGCCTCCTGCATCGTCCCCACTCAAGAATCTCTCCTTTTGTTGGTGAGTTAGCCCAGCTGGCTAGTGTTTGACGCAAAGTGGCAGACTGAAGCAGAAGTGTGGATTCAATTCCCACACCGGTTGAGGTGACAAATAAGGTGCTGCACTGTTAACCTCTCCCCTCGCCTGAGGTATGCTGTCTCTTGGGTTAAACTCATCGCCAGTCATTAGAGAGAAGCCTATGGTTCTCTGGGACTATGGCAACTTTGCCTTTCAGGCCCTAATAATCTTCCTCTCCCTGTCTCTTGACTCTGGTTTTTGCTTCACATAGTTATTTATCGAACAGCGTCCACCTCTGATGGAAGATCATCGATTCAAAACGCAAACTGTGTTTGTCTCCTTACAGATGCTGCTTGATTTGCCGAGTATCTCCAAGATTTACTGCTTTAATTTAATCAGCATCTGCAGAACTTCACTGTTGTACGGGACACCTAACTAGCGCCGAAAAAGATAATTATGTGATTTCTCACTTGCTCCTGCAGTTTTGTTGAAGTTCAATAGAAGAGAGCCACTGCCTTCCCTCCAAAAGGCCAGAGAAATTATAGGGCGGCTCGCAAAATTGAAGAGAGCATAATTATAAATTAAAAATAAAAGGAATTGCTGGCAAAAAGACAAAACAACACTCAAATCTGATAAACACATTTAAAAGCTTCAGATCTACATTTTAATTTTAACTTTGCTGGAATAAGTTTTGAGAAAGGACACAAGTAGAGTCATGGAGTTGTACAGCATGGAAACAGACCCTTTGGTACAACTCATCCATGTCGACCAGATATCCTAAAATCATCTAGTCCCATATCCCTCTAAATCCTTCCTATTCATGTACCCATCCACAATATAATTGTACCAGCCTCCACCACCACATATGGCAGCTCATTCCATACATGCACCACTTTCTGTGTGAAAAAGTTGCCCCTCAGGTCCCTTTTGAATCTTTCCCCTCTCACCATTAACCAATGCCCTCTAGTTTTGGACTCCCCTACCCTGGGGAAAAGACTTTGACTATTCACTCTATCCACGTCACTCATTTTATAAACATCTATAAGGTCACCCCTCAGTCTCCAATGCTTCAGGAAAAATAGCCCCAGCCTATTCAGCCTCTCCCTATCTCTCATAAATATCACAAGAATATTTCAGGGTCACAGTAAAAGGTTATTGTTTAAAATAGCTGCAGCATGAAGGTGAGGATCCATCCAATGAATTGGTTTACAGAATGATTAATCGATCATTTCTGAAGAGCCTTTATAAGCTGTACAGGATCTGATACAGCTGCTTGAGATTCCAAGGAGTTTTGATAAGAGGAAATAAGGGAGAAACTCCCTTCCAGAGGCGGAAGAGTTATAAAGCAGACACTTCGGAATTTAAGGTAATTTGTAAAATTGTCAGAGATCAGAGGAAGAGAGCCATACAATATGTTAAGATGACCAGCCCAGATTCAATGGCTTGAATGGCTCTTTTCTGTGCTGTAGACCTCCATGTCTGAATGGCTGTGATCTGGAATGCACTGTGTGAAAGGATGGTGGAAACAGGTTAAGTTGTAACTTTCAAAGGGAAATGAAAGGGAAAGGGAAGTTGTAGTAAGACTCTGGAGAGAACACAAGTGGGGGTTAGGGCTAGTCCATTCATTCATTCATCTGGCTAAATGGGCTGAACAACCCTTTTCTATTCTGCAAGATTCTACCAATAGAGCTTCACATCATAGCAATTTGGAAAAATCAGTCAGACTGTCAAGTTAAAATGGAAATATGAACATTTTTTGCTCAATTTTAATGAAATATTAATGGATGAGGGTGAATTTACTGAAGTCGGACCTCAATGATCACCCTGATGAAAGAGAGAGAGAACGTTTGGCAAGTGTCATATCTTCTGGTTTTTGGAAGCTTGAAGTCGCACACTTTTACACTCAAAAAAAGCCAGAACATCATTGACACGCATAAAATCCCCTAACAACTGTGCACATCAGTTCTGCTGTTTGGAGCTAGGAGTTTGGCATCTGGGAGGATCGAAGGAAGTGTGGGGGTTGGGGAATGTAAATGAACTCCACAGGGAAAACATATTTTAAAACTGATCAAACCTCCTAACGGCTGAAAGGTTTAGCATCCCACTGAAGGAACTCTTCCAGTCATCATATCCAATTCCTGCACAATTTTAAGAGATACAAACATCCAATTATGTTTAAATGCTACAATTTTAATACAATAAAAATCAAGTTATTAGGCCAAGTAGCTTTATAATGACTCCAAGATGATTCTACACAATACAATTGCCAGGTTTAGAACATTATTTCCAATGGGATTTCTGACTACGGATATAGGGCAACATGACTGTTTCTCCAATTCAACTGATAAGAGTAATGTGGCTCAAATATCCCAGTTGGAATTCTGAAAAAATAAATCTTTCATAGGACATTGGCATCATCACCAGTATTTGTTGCTGATCCCTAATTGCCCTTGAATGGAGTGACTTTCTAGGCCATTTTAGAGGGCAGTTAAATATCAACCACATTGTTACGATTCCAGGTGTTACATGTAGGCCAGACCAGGTAAGGATGGCAGATTTCCTTCCCTAAAGGACATTAGTGAACCAGATGCATTTTTACAATGATTGGCGATAGTTTCATGGTCACCATCTTTCAATTTGAGATTTTTATTTACTGAATTTTAAGCTCCAACAGCTGTCATGGTGGGATTTGAACCTTCCAGAACAATAGTCTGAACCTCTGGATTACTGGCCCAGTGACATTATCACTATGCTACTATTGCCCTTGAGTGTAAACTATTTGTTCAGATACCATATAAAAAAATGGGGTGAATTTCCCACCGGTGTTACTTTTAGCAAAAGGCAAGAGTACCCCTTTTGTATGCACAACAACGTTCTAATAAAATGAGGATCTTTTCCCCAGGGTACGGGAGTCCAATAATAGAGGGCAAAGATTTAAAAGGGACCTGAGGGGCAAGTTTTCCACGCAGAGGGTGGTGCATATATGGAATGAGCTGCCAGAGGAAGTGGTAGAGGCAGGTACAATTACGACATTTAAAAGATATTTGAACAGGTACATGGATAGGAAAGGTTTACACAGATATGGGCCAAACACAGTCAAGTGGGACTAGTTCAGTTCAGGAAACCTGGCCAGAATGGATGAGTGGGCCGAAGAGTCTGTTTCCATGCTGTATGACCAGCACATGAGGAACTTCACCCTCAACATACATTGAACTTTGAAAGGTAGAAGTCTCAGTGTTTAACAGATCAGTTTGTACAAGTACATACTGTGACTATGAGAAGAGACATGGGTCACATCCTGTGCCAGGACGTTACTGGAAACGTTGGTGTCCAACATGTTTGGAGATGGCCAGGCTTTACGGATCAACTTTCCCGGCCTCTGCTTTATGGCAACATGCTCTGTGAACAATCGGAGTCTTTGTCCCGTGAGGTTGAGACGTGCTGGGCTGATGAGTGGCCGCCGGTGGTGCAAGGAGCCAGAACTGGACGTCACCGATCCCGCCACTGACGGAGTTGGCGATATTGAGGGGGAAGATGGTCGGCTTCCAGACTTCAAGGAGAAATAATCTACGGAAAGGACAGAACAAACACAGTGGATACACGTCTCACCGGAAATGCCAACAATCAATCCATCAGGAATGTTTCTCAATGATTCGTTTTCACACCTAGCCTCAGAGAGGTTAACATTCTGCTGTGAGAGCACCTGAACATTTATAGACCTTCTCTATTCAATCCCTCACAGGCCTCTTACTGCTTCACAACCCCAGCATCATCGGAACAACCGACAACAAGATTCCCTCAGGACAGGCTGATGGTTTTTGACTTCTTTTCATGCAGACAAACGGCAACTTATTTCTTTAATGTGGTGATTTAACAAATGACTTATAGAGTCACACAACATGGAAACAGACCCTTCGGTCCAACTTGCCTGCACCAACCAGATATCCCAATCTGACCTAGTCCCATTTGCCAGCATTTGGCCCATATCCCTCTAAACCCTTCCTATCTATGTACTTGTGCAAATGTCTTTTCAATGTTATAATTGTACCCCCCCTCTACCACTTCCTCCAGCAGCTCGCTCCACATATGTACCACGCTCTGATCCCTTTTAAACTTTGCCCCTTTCATTTGAACCTGTGCTCTGTAGTTATGAACTCCCATATCCTGGGCAAAAGACCTTGTCTGCTCACCTTATCTATGCCCCTCATGATTTTACAGACCTCTATAAGGTCACCCTTCAGCTTCCTATGGAAAAAAGTCCCAGCCTCTCCTTATAACTGAAACCCTTCATTCTCACTAACATTTTCGTAAATCTTTTTGCCCCCTTTCCAGTTTAATAACATTCTTCCTACAGAAGGGCAACCAGAATTGTACACAGTACTAAATACAGCCTCATCAATATCTTATAAAGCTGTAACATGGCATCCCAACTCCTGATTGCTCTGACTGATGAAGGCAAGTGTGCCAAACGCCTTCTTCACCACCCTGTCTGCCTGTGATGCTACTTTCAGAGAACTACATACCTGCATGTCTAGGTCTTTCTGTTCGACAACACTCCTCCAAGCCGTACCATTAAGTGTTTAAATCCTGCCCTGGTTTCTCTTACCAAAACGCAATGCCTCGTATTTATCTAAATTAAACTCCACCTGCCACTTCTTGGCCCACTAGCCCAGTTGCTCAAGAACCTGCTGTAATATTAGTTAAGCTTCTTCACTGTCCACCATGCCACCAATTTTAGTGTCATCCGCAAACTCACTAACCATGCCTCCTATATTCTCATCCAAATCCTCTATATATAAATGATGAATAATATTTTGCTGACAGCTCCTCTGAGCAGTCAAGGTGTTCACACAGCAGAAAGTCTGCGTGATTCTATCAAACTGACACGTTTCTTGGAAAATTGCTGCAAACTGACCAAGTAATCAGTTAAGATAACAAGGTGTAGAGCTGGATGAACACAGCAGGCCAAGCAGCATCAGAGGAGCAGGAAGGCTGACGTTTCGGCCCGAAACGTCAGCCTTCCTGCTCGGCCTGCTGTGTTCATCCA